AGTGATGCATTAGGATACATTAGAAAAGTAGTCATCGATTAGCAGTTGAACTAATTTAAAAAAAAAAGTATGTGAAAAGCCCCATCCGCATTCGTTTTTTATGAGAGGCATAGACATCCTGGAAATAGCCCGAGTGGTAGCAGTTGTTAACAGTAACGATTCGCTGGCAAGATTGTCGATGTTTAGAAGCAAGCTGATGGCAGGCTGCTTGGCACATGCCAGTTACCAGTTTATCACCAAAACGATTGAAGGGTTTCGCACAAGGATTGGGTGTCTCATTGGCGGAGTCGAACTCTGTATCTTTTGCACGACAACAGTGCTGCTTGTCAACTTGTGACATATCTGCCAGCAGGATAGAAGTAGGAGGGAGAAATTGGTTTTGGTACTAACTGGCGCAGTCGAACTTTTGGATTGGGTACAGGAGTCTGTCGAGGTTTTTATACGAAGCAGTCGATCGAAGCGCAAAAGGAATTCGCTAACAGTCGAATCTTGGGCCTACTCCGAAAGTGAACCATTTCAACTAGATACTGCTCATTGTTAAAAAGCGACAGTTTGCTTAGAACTCTGTTCAGAGAATCACATACTATCACAAAGTAACCCGTCTCCACAGGGGGGAATTCTGTCTGATTCTGGAATATTGCATAAAGCCGATATGGAGCGCGTCTTCTCAACTACAAAGCAACTAGCAACTGGATTCGATGCCGGTCTAGTTGACCCTCTAACAATTGAAAGTAATGTAACCGGTGATGAACTGGATCCGGCAGGTAGCACAACTTTGATTTGTAGCCCATCCGCAATAGCCAAATCTTCTGCAGCTTCAAGCGTATGATCTCGAGGTGCAATCTGACGAGAGCTGAATAGCAGCAGCTGCGACCTCCCATAGGTAAGTGTCAAGCTGTTTAAAATGATGACAATATCAACGTCATCCAAAATAATACAGACCGATCCGATACTGCTATTCAAATAGCAACTGGATCTGGAAAATCCCAAAAGTTAATCCGCCAGTCAGTTATTATTTTGATTCTGCAAATAGCATAAAAGTAGAAACAAGCCAATTCTGAGTTTTTTAAATGTCGTCGAACTAACTCTGGTTTTTACAGGTGCCAATAACAAAAAATATCTATTTATCTTGCATAACCAGATTTGTTAGAGAACTTAGGTGACTTAATTTTGCGGCGTGGATTTCCAGCTATTTTGCATTAAAAGCATAAATTTCATCTACAGAAAAACGCTTTTTTTGCGTGTCGCTTTTGTTGCGTTCCATCTTCCATGGTACAGCTGTGGCAGGTGTGCGGAAGCATGTCACAAATAACACTGACTTTCAATTCAGATTTCATTTTCATTTTTCATTTTTGTTTTTATCTTTTTACAATCTTTGCCATAACCATAAAATATCTAAATTTAAATAACATGGGATGCCCACACGTTGGTCATCTAGGAGCGTCCTTGGCCTTATCAAGGTCTACACTTCACAAGTACAAAGGAGTGTAAGCTTAAATCTTTAGAAAAATTAATTTTTTTCCTGAATTTTGCGTCTTTTGCATCATCAAGATTTATATTTAATTTGCAAAGTGCAAGGAAGTGCGGACTCAAATCTTTAGCAAAATATTTTTTTTTAAATTTTTATCATTGTTTTTTTACATTATGATTTTCACAAGAATTTTGCAAATCTTACTGTTTGCTTTGATTGATGTTTTGAGTTACTGTTTCATCGTTGCATTTCTCCTTATGCCACTTGCCAACTTTTCTATTTGCTTTTGAGTTTCTCGCATC